AAGGCCATTAAAAAAAAAAAAAAAGGAGGGGATTGGCCCGAGAAGAGGAGAGAGATAAAACTCCTAAATAAATAAATAATATACTGTAAAACTAAGCAAGGTCTCTATCAGAATGCAAGGTGTGTTCAACGTTAGGAAAGCTATTAATATAACTCAGTACAATAATAAAACAAAATTGTTGACTTTCTCCATAAATGTCAATATTCATCACTGTTAAACAAAAGGGAAGGAAAAAAAAAAACCAGTAAGCTAGAACAGAAGGAAACATCTTTAGCCTAATGAAGATCACCTACTGGAAGCCCAGAGCGCCCTACTTCGGGATGCAACGTGAGAACCATTCCCACTGAGAATGCTGCAAGGGTGCCATGCAGCATCACGCGGGACAGCCTGGCTTCTGAGATTCACAAGAAATAGACATGAGTGTAGAGGAGATAACTGCCACTAGTGGGATATGATTTGGTATCTAGAAAGCTACGAGATCAATGAAGAACTCTGAGCATTCGACAAGGTGAGTGACACAAAGATGGACAAGCAGGTGGAAGCCAGTGACCAGGGAAAGATGATTTCCACAAATCCCTTCTCTTCCAGTAATGAGGACTTTCATAAACTCCTAAGACTAAACCAAACTGGAAATAAAGGCCCATAAGAAGATCACACCACCTTACCAAAGAATATACCTCATTTCTAGATAGGAAGATTAAAAACTTAATTTTTCTACGATATTTATTTTTAAAAATTAAAAATAGGTGGGGGGAATTGGCTCATACCTGCAATCCCAGCACTTTGGGAGGCTGCGGTGGGAGGATCACCTGAGATAAGGAGTTCAAGACCAGCCTGACCAACATGGAGAAACCCCATCTCTACTAAAAACACAAAATTAGGTGGGTGTGGTGACGCATGCCTGTAATCCCAGCTACTTGGGAGGCTGAGGCAGGAGAATTGCTTGAACCCGGGAGGCAGAGGTTGCAGTGAACCAAGGTCATGCCATTGCACTCCAGCCTGGCAACAAGAGCAAAAGTCCATCTCAAAAATAAATATAAATTAAAAAAATAAAAAATAAACTTTTAAGATACCACTTCTCAGCTGGGCATAGTGGCTCACACCTGGAATCCCAGCCCTTTAGGAGGCCAAGGTGGGAGGATGGCTTGCCCAGGAGTTTGAGATCAGCCTGAACAACATAAGACTGTCTCTAAAAAAAAATAATAACAAAGAGTAGCTGGATGTGGTGGTGCACACCTGTGGTCCCAACTACTCAATAAGCTGAGGTAGAGGGATCGCTTGACCCCAGGAAGTGGAGGCTACAATGAGCCGTGATTGCACCACTGTGCTCCAGCATGGGTGACGGGAGTGAAACCCTGTCTCAAAAAAATAAATTAAATGTTGAAAGCCCGTCTCTACTAAAATTACAAAAATTAGCCAGGAATAGTGGCAAGCACCTATAATTCCAGCTACTTGGGAGACTGAGGCAGGAGAATCGCTTGAACCTGGGAGGCAGAGGTAGCAGTGAGCTGAGATCACGCCACTGCACTCCAGCTTGGGCAACAAGAGCAAAACTCCGTCTCAAAAAAAAAAAAAAAGCACGGCACACAGATCAATAGGACAGATTAGAAATTCCCAGAAAGATCCACATGTATGCAGAAATTGATGTTTTAAGAGATTATTTCCAGTGAGCAAAGAATGAACAATTCAATAGTAGAGACAACTGGCTTTCCCTTTAGGAAATGTTAGCTTGCTACCTCTCAGAAAAAACAAACTTCAGATGAATTAAAGATAGATAGGCACCCATACATCTTTAACCCATCTTATTTTTTGTATATATATCTACATACATTTTGTACATGTGCATTCATACATACATATATACAAATGTATATATGGTTAAAGCCACACTCTAAGGGGAAGTGAATCAGAAACAGGTAAATGAACTGGTAGCTGGAGAAGATGTGGGAATCAGCACAAGGTTTTATGATAATTTCAGAAATGGGAGATTCTACAGCACACTCGACACTAACACATCATATCCGGTAGACAGGACAACCAAAAACGAAATAAACAACAACAAAAAAACAAGCAAATCAAACACCCAGATAGAACAAAATCCAACACCAGGAAAACACAATCAAAGTCTTTAAGAACGCAAAAGAGGCCAGGTGTGGTGGCCCACACCTTTAATTCGAGCATTCTAGGAGGCCAAAGTGGGTGGATCACTTGAGGTCAGAAGTTCAAGACCAGCTTGGCCAATATGGTGAAACCCTGTCTACTGAAAATACAAAATTCAGCTGGGTGTGGTGACATGTGCCTGTAATCCCAGCACTCTGGGAGGCTGAGGCAGGAGGATCACTAGAGGTCAGGAGTTCAAGACCAGCCTGGGCAACATGGCAAAACCATGTCTACTAAAAATACAAAAAATTAGCCAGGCATGATGGTGCATGCCTGTAGTCTCAGCTACTCAGGAAGCTGAGGCAGCAGAATCACTTGAACCCAGTAGGCGAAGGTTAGCGAGTCGAGATCTCACCACTGCACTCCAGCCTAGACAATAGACGGAGATTCTGTCTCAAGAAACAAAAGGTGGTAGTTGTGGCGGGGGTGAGGAGGGCAGGGCGAGTAGCAAAAGAGATAGGCTCCAAAGCACAAGAGGTAAGGTTTAAGTCCCACTGGCTTACAATGGGAAGATAGGCAAGCACACCTGCAGAGTTGGTAAGGGGGAGGAAGGCATTCCTTCTGATGGCTGCAATTTTTTTTTTTTTTAAGACCAGGTTTCACCACGTTGGTCAGGCTGGTCTCAAATTCCTGACCTTGTGATCCGCCCACCTCAACCTCCCAAAGTGCTGGGATTACAGGCGTGAGCCACCACATCCCACCTGACTGCTGTTTCTTAATGAGGCATGAATCGCGGTAACTACAAGGGGGAATTGGTAAGATGAAGTGTTGAAATAGATATCCAGAGTAGATCCGCTGGGCAGTGCTCAGTGTCCATCTGAGGTCTGTAATTATAAACTTAAGGTACAACCGGTGAGCAGGCTGCCTTTTTGCCTAATGATGGTGACTTGGGTTTGGGCACAGAGGTGAATGATTGAGTTTACCCAGGGAGATGGGAGCCGGGGAGGAGCTGTGTGTAGGATGGGGACCACGGAATTGACACCACACAAGGAGGGAAGTGAAGGCCAAAGGTTAATCATAAGAATGTCAAGGCTGCTTAGAAGGATGAAGGGTGGAAAAGCAGCCTCCATTTAAAAGGACAATCAATGTCCTTGGGGAATAATCAGGTTTCAAATAAAGTCAGGAGATGGGCCGGGCGTCGTGGCTCACGCCTGTAATCCCAGCACTTTGGGAGGCCAAGGCTGGCGGATCATGAGATCAAGACCATCCTGGCCAACATGGTGAAACCCCGTCTCTACTAAAAATACAAAAATTAGCCAGGTGTGGTGGCACATGCCTGTGGGCCTAGCTACTTGGGAGGCTAGGTGGAAGAATCACTTGAACCTTCCACAGGAGGCGGCGGTTGCAGTGAACCGAGATTGCACCACTGCACTCCAGCCTGGCAACAGAGCAAGACTCTGTCTCAAAAAAAAAAAAGGAGATGGATGGACCATTCAAAACAAGGTTAAAGATAGAGAAATGTGCCAGCCAGCTTCTGGAGGTAACAGATGGTTAAGAGTGGGAGAGATGGGGTTGCACGTGGGGATGGACATAGTCACTGGAGGTGAGCACTCCTGTCCACAGGGTGACTAGAAAGGCAGGGGGAGCAGCAGGAGGCACCATGGGCTTGAGCCTGAGTGTCTCTTAGAGGCAGGTGGGGGTTAGGTCCTAGGGCTGTCATCCTGAATGCTTGAATCAGTATGAACTGCAAGCAGCTAATGAAGCAGGAGTGCTCCCAGTTGTTAAACACATAGAGGGAGGCCCAGAGCAGGGTCTGGCACTTTCTAACTGTCCAGTAAGAAAGAACAAACCACCCAGGAAAGACTCTAGCCATTTCCCATTTCCTTCCATTCAGCCCACCCGCCCACAAGGTCACTACCAGGGAACAGTTTTTCACTTCACCACCAGGCTCCCTCCTCTGAGAGAGCCACTCAGACACCAGAACAAGTCACCACCCACCAGGGGTTTAATTCTCCTAATCGGAAGATCAGTTCAAAGAGAGGCCCTGCTTTGTCCCCATCCAGGGGTGAAGATCTGCAGAGCACCCTGGGAATGTCCAAGCCCAAAAGAGCCAGGGGCCAGTCCCTGAGCAAGTGGAGAAGTGGGTCCTGGGGTCTCAGGCCTCCTCCTCCCCCTCTTCGCTCTCCTCCTCACTCTCATGATATTGTCTGCGGTTTGTGTTAACAAACAGGTCAGAATCATCTTCTGAGCTGGACTCCTCTCCTGATAACTGTGGCTCAGCTGGGAGTTCTGGTTGAGTTTGTCTGCACCAGGGAAAGAGAGCAGAGTTAGCCCAGCACCTTCTGGAAAAACCTGATCTGCAATGAAGGAGTTCCAAAAAAGGAGGACCATCTGGCCCAGCAGTCAGGGCCCCACAGCACCCTTTAAAGACTAAAACAAGGGACAGAGGCAGGGCAAACAGTGGAAAAACGTGGCCAAAGAAACATGCTAAAGACTGACCCCACTCCCAAAACGTGTGCTACAGCCATTTGTGTTAGTTAGGAATAATGATTCTAAGACCGCCAACACTTAATGGACCCATATCACATACCAGATACTACACTAAGCAATTTTATAAGCCATCCACTCCTTTAATCCTCACGAAGCTCCCATTTTCTATATAAGGAAAATAGAGTTTGAAGGAATTAAATAACATGCTTAAAGTCACTCAGCAAAGTCAGGATTTTAAACAAGAGCATCTGACCTTCAAGCCATATTCATAACTGTGTTATAGCACATATCTATGCGCTCTCAACAGATACCCTGTGTAAAGGAGGAAAGAAGGCTCCATTTTTCCCTCAAGGCATCAAAGCATGAACCCCCTATTTTCCATGTACCCCACCCCAAGGCTTGTTCCTCACCTGTTCATGTTACTGTGTTTCTCCACCACTTCAGAGAAGGCCTCAGGCCTATGCCAAGAGATGAGCCAGAGTCAGAGAGGACAAAGACATTTCTCACAAAAGAGCTGTTTCCAGCTGTCTCTGCCTGGGATGCCATGACCTTCCCTCCCCAAATTCCCAAGCTAGAAAGGCAGTGCCTCCAGAAGTCAGAGAACCAATGATCAAGGGGTCCACCCTACCAAAGCCCCTGCTTCTGCAGTGAGCGCATGTGGTCCTTGCAGAGCACAAAGGAGATCTCAGCCTTCACCTTCTCTCCCTCTTCAATGGGGTCAACAATGAGAAAGTCCCCTGTAGGTAAGAAGAGAAAAGGGAAAGTCAGGCCTGCTTGCAATAAGGAAAGCCAAAGCTATAGGAAATGGTTCTATCGCCTAGAGAGGGCTGCCTCTCACCTCTCTTTTTTTTTTTTTCTTTTTTTTTTTGAGACAGGGTTTTGCTCTTTTGCCCAGGCTGGAATGCAATAGCATGATCATAGCTGACTGCAGCCTCCACCTCCCAGGCTCAAATGATTCTCAGGCCTCAGCCTCCTGGGTAGCTGGGATCACAGACACGTGCCCAACTAATTTTTAATTTTTTGTAGAGACAAGGTCTCATTATGCTGCCCAGGCTGATCTCAAACTCCTGAGCTCAAGCGATCCTCCCACCTCAGCCTCTTAAAGTGCTTGGATTACAGGAGTGATCCTCTTACCTCTCTTGATCCAGATGTTCTTGCGGTATTTGGAGGGCATGCTCACAAGGAAACGCTGCCCTTGGGCTGTCTCCACCTCATGCAGATTGTTCCCTGGAGTCCTGAGTACCTGGTTCAGGAGAGACCAGGAATCAGCCTCATCAGTCAGATCAAACACCCTCTCAGACACACTGCACCCTACCCCTGCCCCAGGGGCCCTACAGCGGTTGGGGGGGAGCAGAGCAGCTTGTGCCCAAAGCCACTCACCCGAACAATCTGCTGCCGGTCAGAGGGCACCATGTGCTCCCCCAGCACCTCCTTCACCACATGCTTCCTCTTGGTGGCCTGAGACATGCTTAAGTTGTCCCAGGGTACTTAGAGATGCAGAGACTGTCAATTCCTCCTCCTGAGTTCCTTGGACGGCAGGCTCAGAACCCAGGACTATTCTGAAGATGGGGTGGAGCTTTTTACTGAGGAGTGACACAGTGTCTTGGTTAAGAATATGGGCTCTGAAGTCTTAACTGCCTGGATTCAAATTCTACCTTGGTTCATTTCCTAACTATTCAACTTCTCTAGGTCCCAGAAAAAATAACAGCTAACTCAGCATTGTTACAGAATGGGACAACACAGTGCATGTTATATAAAAGTAACTCCTGCAATCATAACTACTGGTATAACATAAAACTATACACATGCTCCAGAGAAATCACCCTGGCAACCTCTCTGGAAGGAGTCTGAGATAAACCATATCTTTCTCAACACGTTTGTACACCCCAAGTCTAGCACAATCACACAACAGAGAAGTTCAGTCTGGCAACACACTACAGCCGGAGACAAATTAGGTGGCCACCGCGACGGTCCAAGCCAGGAACTAGTTAACGAAAGGTGGAGGTGAGCAGGCTTGCCTGTGACATTTGCATGTTTGACTTTCTTACTTAGAAGACGAGGGCCAGACTGACGGTTTCCGAAGGAAACATCGATATGTCATATCTAGTTGCCGTCCTCCTTCCTCCTCCCCGTCTATCCCGGAGAAAAGACCCTCGGAAAAAGACCCACACTTAAGTCTGTGGCCCTCGGCTCCCAGGAACGCTGCCTGAGCAACCCCGCTGTCCAGGCCGGACGCTGAGAGAATTGTCCGCGACTCACTTGAAGGCTGAGCCAAGAAAACACAGTAAAGGAACTTGCTGACGGCCGCGACGGTAGCGTGAGCTTAAATCCAGGTCTCCAATGTTTTCAGTTCCCTCCAGTCCCACTGCTAGGAGGGTGACGTGAGTTTGAGTCGGATCTCTTCGAAAAACTGTACTTCCGGCGCTGTCTCGGAAGCCTCCCGGCCACCCGTCCCCTCCCTTGTCCGTTCTTCCAACTCTTCCCCACGCCAGTCGGTCAAGCCTAAGTCCTTGAGTTCCGGGTCCGGGCAGCAGAGAAAGAAAATCCTTTCTCTGGAGGCCTTTCTTCCTCGAGTAGCGGGACCTTACAAGGCAGCAGGACTTCCCGCGAAGGACCGGAAAGGAGGACCTACTACAGAGGCCGTCGAGGTCCGGGACGCCTCAACTCTATAGCCCTAACTGGCTAGAAGTGCCCAACGTGGAGGGTTTTTTTTTTTTTTTTTTTTAAAGGACGCTCTTGAGGCGACCCGGAAGCGGAAGTGGAAGAAAGTTCTAGTGGCTTGAGGTATCGGCGGGAGCGGCCGGGTGGCGGGAGGAACCGTTACGGGAACTGAAGCTGCCGGTGAGCGTCAGCTGCAGAGCAGGGCCCTGGCTAGAGGCCAGATGGGTTGCGAGGAGAATGGGATGAGAGGGGCCGCAGGCGCTGGGGTGGGCCCTTGGGGAGAGCTTAGCCGCGCTGCGGGGAGGGGGCGGGGCGCGGCGCGTGGGAGCCGGCCCGCGGGAGGGGGCGGGCCGCGGCGCCGCGCGATGGGGGCGGAGCTGGGGCGCGGCTTGAACCCCGCGGGCTGGAGGCGAGTGTGCGGAGCGCTCGATTTGTGCTTCGCTCTGTGGGTAGAGAGACCCTTTGGTTAACTTTCCATGCCAAGTGACCGGTCCAGACAGGGTCAGTGCCTTCTTGGCTCAGCCAAGGTCACAGAAGGAGTGACAGCTTCTGGGCGGCCCTGGCTACTGACTCTGGGAATCTTTCCACTTACCCGTTTGCGCCACCTGTTAGGCAGGATCGTTTTTCCTCTGGGCAAGATCAAAATCCAGGTCCTGCAGGAAGAAACTTCTCTTCAGAATAGTAGGGAAGGCTCCCTGGACCTCAGTTTTCTCCTTTTTTGATGAGGGATATCGAGCAAGCCACCATAATGCCTGGCTTAGCTTCCTCTTACTATGAGATTGCTAGTGGGCCCTTAGGAGTTCCAGGTCTTCAACCCTAACGTGTCTTTTTTTGGGATTTCTAGATTAAGCCTGATCAAGATGACAACCTCCCAAAAGCACCGAGACTTCGTGGCAGAGCCCATGGGGGAAAAGCCAGTGGGGAGCCTGGCCGGGATTGGTGAAGTCCTGGGCAAGAAGCTGGAGGAAAGGGGCTTTGACAAGGTGTGGGGTGGCAGCGTGTACCTGGCACAGGCTGGGAGTGGGAGGGAAGTGAGTCCATCTGCTGTGGGGTGGACGGTGGGGTATAATCTGAAGAGACTGCCAGAGCCTGGGCACCTGGTAGAGAGGAGATGGGGGCAAAACCCGCCCTGCTTCCTGGGCTTGTGTGCTCTGAATGGCACGGGAATGACCGATTTACTCTTATCCCTCACTGAACACTGAGCAGTATGCCCCTTCCTTTTCTCTGTCTCTCAGGCCTATGTTGTCCTTGGCCAGTTTTTGGTGCTAAAGAAAGATGAAGACCTCTTCCGGGAATGGCTGAAGGACACTTGTGGTGCCAATGCCAAGCAGTCCCGGGACTGCTTTGGATGCCTTCGAGAGTGGTGTGATGCCTTCTTGTGATACTCTCTGGGAAGCTCTCAATCCCCAGCCCTCATCCAGAGTTTGCAGCCGATTAGGGACTCCTCCCCTGTCCGCTACAGAGGAAAAGATTGCTATTGTCGTACTCACCTCCGATGTACTCCAGGGTCTTTGGGAGTTTCCTCCCCTAACCATTTCAACTTTTTTGGATTCTCGCTCTTGCATGCCTCCCTCTTCCTTTTTCCCTTGCCAGTTCCCTGATGACAGTTACTGGCTTTCCTGAATGGATTCCTGGCCCTATCCCTCACCCCCACCCTCACTTTCAGTCCGTTTGATACCATTTGGCTCCTTTTTTGGCAGAACAGTCACTGTCGTTGTAAAGTTTTTTAGATCAATAAAGTCAGTGGCTTTCATGACTGGGCTTTGTGCATTGAAAAGCAAGTGGGCTGGGAGTTGCCTCTCCTCCAGGGACTGACCACGTCTCCCCCTCTCCTTATCAGTACAGACCGAAACCGGCAGCTTCCCTTCCACTCCCAGAGGGCAGCCACCCTAGCCATGTAGATCTCAGGCAGGTGACTTGGAGTGTCTCAATCCCCAAGTGATGTGGGAGAGAGTGTGGGTGGATCTTTTCCTGGGAGCCAGATGGACTGTGCTCCACATGTCAGTTAAGTCAACAGCTGGGCTAGGCAGCACCTGGTGGAAAAGTCAGTGGGAGTCAGAGGTACTTGACAGAGGGTGGACCGGATGCGGGTGCGAGTTCACCTACCAGTCATCATATCTGCTTTCCTGGCCTCTGGCAAGGGTAGGTAGGGGGCTTGCCATCTTCCCTGATCTCTTAGGGAGGAGAAAGAGCACAGGCATTACAGCTGGAAGCATGAGAAGGAAGTACACCTCAGTGCATTTTAGCCCTTTCTATTTGTTTACTTTTTAGATTAATCGAGACAGGACCGTGTTGTATTGCCTAGGCTGGCCTTAAGCAATCCTTAAGCCTCCCAAAGCTCTGACTAGATGTGAGCCACTCTACCTGGCCAGCCCTATTATTTCTTGAGCACTTAATATGAACCAGACTTGAAGTTAAAATCTTTGCAAATATTTTTTTTTTTTTACAATAATAAATCATTATATTCTCTTTTACAGGTGAGGAAATTGAGACTCAGAGAGGCTAATTTGCCCATGGACTTGCTGTTGGGAAGTAGATAGTCTGGAACTCAAACTAGCTTGGAAACCCATGGACCTGGCCATGTGTTCCTTGGTCATATGGCTTATCCTCTCTGAGCCTCAGTTTTCCCACTTGGAAAATGAGGTGCTTGTAGGGAAAGGATATTTGCAGCAGTATAAACAACAAAGGACTATTTCCAAAGCACATACAGAACTGTAGTCAAGAAAAAGGTGGACTGGCCGGGTGCACTGGCTCATACCTGTAATCAAGCACTTTTGGAGGCCAACGCAAGTGGATCACCTGAGGTCAGAATTGTGAGACCAGCCTGACCGACATGGAGAAACCCCATCTCTACTAAAAATACAAAAATTAGCCAGTGTGGTAGTGGACACCTGTAATCCCAGCTACTCAGGAGGCTGAGACTGGAGGATCAGTTGAACTCAGGAGGCAGAATTTGCAGTGAGCCAAGATCACGCCATTGCACTCCAGCCTGGGTGACGAGAGTGAAACTCCGTCTCAAAAACAAAGAGACAGACACAACAGAAAAATGAGTAAAGGCCTAAGACAGCCTCAGAAGAAGGTTCCCTCCCAATAAACAAGCAAAGGAAAGGTGCTCCATATTGCTGGTAATAAGATGTCGCATACCATTAGCACCCACCTGACTGGCAAACACTTAAGTTGGACAATACCAAGTATTGATGAGATAATGAAGAAGCAGGAAGTGATACCCAGCTGGTGGGAGTATAAATTGGTCTAAACAATTTGGGAGGACAGTTGGGTGTTATTTAGTAAAACCGACACACCCTGTGACCAAGCAGTTCCGCTCTCAGGACTGTGCCTTGAAAAAATCCCGAACACCTGCACCAGGACCTAGATGAATTCACAGCTGCATTGTTGGGAGCAACAATAGTGCTGTCAATACTCGAGTAAATAGGCATTCACGCCTAAGGACACTGCACGGAGGTGACAATGAACGAATGATAGCTGTGTACAACACGGATCTCAACAGCAAATGAAGCGAATCAGAGTCTTAGGAACTCCTACGTAAACTAGAAAACAAAGGAAATGATTATTGTAAATAGTGAAGGAAAAAGGTCTACAGCAACTGTCTTTGGGGGAGGGTATGGAAGGGCTTGAGGGTAGGCTTGGCACTTTCTGACCTGTGGGGTGGTAGTACAGGCATTGACGCCCTGTTCTGTGTATTAGTTACATCTCAAAACAGTAGAAAGATAAAAGGAAAACCAAAAAGACCTGAACCTGGAACGATTGTGTGATAGGTCAGAAACTAAGTTGTTATTTGTAGGGATGAGAGTTTCAGTGCAAGGCTGGGGCTGGGAAGTGCAAGTGGCCCATCCTGAAGGGGACAGCAGGTGGCTGCAGTAGGGCCTGGCTTGTGCTTCAGGCCGCTTTCTGGGAGGGTGCTGGTCTGAAGCCCGGCTGAGGTGGTCACAAGGGCTCTCTCTGGAGTTTCAGACTGTTTCTTTTTTCTTTTTCTTTTTTTTTTTTTTGAGCCAGAGTCTTGCTGTCACCAGGCTGGACTGCACTGTTGTGATCTCGGCTCACTGCAGCCTCCACCCACTGCAACCTCCACCTCCCAGGTTAAAGCGATTCTCTTGTATCAGCCTCCTGAGTAGCTGGGACTACAGGTGCATGCCACCATGCCCAGCTAATTTTATTTTTTTATTTTTGGTAGACATGGGGTTTCACTGTGTTGGCCAGGATGATCTCCATCTTTTGACGTCATGATCCACCCGCCTCGGCTCCCAAAAGTGCTGGGATTACAGGTGTGAGACACGGCGCCAGGCCCAGACTGTTTCTTATGTCTTCCCAGATAAGTCCCCTCAGCCTTGATCCTTGTGCTGTGATGCTGTCACAGGCGTGGTATGCTTAGGTAGGGGCTTTGCAGGCCCTGGCCTTGCCACACTTGCCCTGATGCTGCCAGATTGTTGCTGGTGCTCTGTGAGGTCATGGAGACCCCCTCCTCCTCTTCCCCAGGCTCCTGCTCATGCTGGCTTCCTGGCTTGGCCTCGCCTGGCTCTGGCACTGGGACCCTGCTGGAAGCCTGCAGCTCATGCTGTCTGCTTTATTTCCTTGTCCTCTGCCTTCCCTGGCTCACCCACAGGCTTTTCCTCAGAAGCGGGTGGAACCTGCTTTCTCATCTCTCCCTTGGGGCGCAGGCAGTGTGTGTACCAGGTGGCAGACCACAAACCCTTTATCAGGACTCCACATTGCATCCCACACAAGTTCTCGGCTCTGTTCTGGGACAGCAGTAGACAAAGGGCATCTAGAATGTACCTTGTGACAGTATGGCCTCTCAGATCCAGCCCAACTCAGCCAGCAGGACAAAGGGACCATGGCTTGGAATGCTGGCGCAGAAAGCAGACCTGAGTGGTGAGGGGTAGGAGTCAGGTTGGCTAAGTGTCAGCCCATGGTGACCAACGGGACATGCTTGACCACCGTGGGAAGTATGCGAGTGGGTCCGGAAATAAGCAAATACACGGTGCCCCCAGCCCCACACCTAGTCAGAGCTTGACCCTCCCCAGCCGGTCTAGTCATGCATGCTCAGAGCCAGCCTAGAACTTGGTGTGAACCTGGCCCATGCATTCCAGGTTCTGAAGGGCTCCTGCTGCCCCCGGAAAAGAAGTAGGGGCAGGCTACCTGGACCGCCACAAGCCCTGCCCTGCGGCAGCCTGGTGAGCATGGAAGGCTCCCAGTAGGTGCTTGTGACTGCTGATCCCCTTCCAGGACAGCCCTTCCCTGCAGGGACCAAGGCTCTTTCCTGTCACTGCCAACCTTGACTGGTGGCAGCCTTGAAGAGCCAGCCAGGCCCGATTCTGGGCCTTTGTTCCCCATGCGATCTGGAGCAAGTTGCTTCACTGCTCTGAGCTACAGCCTCTTCTACCAGCTGGTGCAGGGTTGTGAAGATTCAAACAGTGAACCAGCGGTGCTTGGGAGCGCACCTCCCCAGGGGGGAACTTTCATCCCTGTTGGATTACAGGTTTCCTTGCTGAAAGATCTCCTTTCCAGAACATGGGTCTACAGAGCCCTGGGGGAGGGAAGTACCCTCTGCCCAATTGAAGGTTCCAGGAAGAGGGTTCTGGGGAAGCAACAAGGCCTTGGAGGGCCTTATCCCAGGGGGAAGGAGATGTCAAGATCCTGCCCTGGTTATCACCACCCATCAGGCCAGGGGCAAGAGAGGGGTGCTGTGGACAACCTGGGTTGGGGTGTCTGGGCCACTGCAAAACTGGAGGCTGTGCCCTGTGGCCAGTACATTTGGCCAACCTCAAGCTCATGCTTGGCCCAAGACTCCTGGAAGCCAGAGTGGTCGAGAAGGGATGGAGTCAGGCCCTGGGAAAGTGCTCAGGGACCTCCCACCTGTAAGAAGCAACCCCCACCCATGCACAGCAGACCTCATACCCCTGTAGAGCAGCCCAGGACTTGTGCACCAGTACCCACCACTAACCTTTTGACCTCCCATTTCCTCCTTGTAGGAGGAGGTAATAATCATTGTCTCTGCAGAGCCGCTATGGGAATGAAAGAACATATATTGAACCCCTGGGACAAGGCCTGTCACATAGCAAGTGCTCTTGTAATTGTTAATGCCCTCCCCCATCTTTTCTCACCAAGATACCACTGCTAGCTGTGTGACCTTAGACAAGTGTCCCAACCTCTCTGATTAACTTTTTCATCTGCAAAATGAGAATAATGTGTACTACCTCAGGGTGCTTGTGAGAATTCATCAGTGGGTGAAAAGTGCTTGGAAATTTCTAGGCTGTAGTGCAAAAGAGTCCCTGGCATCAGCACAAAGCAGCGGCAGGTGGGGTGAGTGCCCTTGGAGAGTCGAAGACAGGCCTTGGCTAGTTTTTGAGAGTGGTGGTGGAGGTACCCGTGCCCATGGCTAAGCTCCAAGTGATCAGACAGCAGGCCTAGGGGAGCTGCCTCTCTCACCTGGCACCTGTGGTGGGATCCTGGGATTCTTCCTGTACCCGTCCCAGGCTCTTAGCTCAGAGTCCTGGCCAGACTTCATCCTCCTCATCAACTCAAGTTCAGCCAGCACTTCCACAGACTGGAGTCTGTTCCTTTAAGGCAGACACCTGAGCCCTCCAGGAACTTGTGACAGTTCCTTGGAATCCCAGGAAGATGGCAGAGTTGGTTTTCCACAGCTGGGCTGAGGAAGTGAGGGAGGTAGCAAGCTGGCAGCTGCCCTGGGTAGTGAGTGACTGCTTTGGTGTAGGTCTCATTGTGAGAAGTCACCTCCTTTTGTGATCCTGGGATTCTGAGGCCCAGAATCAGGAAGGGAGGTTGACACGCTGGATGCCTGCATACGATATTCATCACAGTCACGGCTGCCAGCTGCTCTTCAGGTACTGTGACCTAGCGCCTCTTCCAAGCCCCAGTGAAGCCCTGGAGGCTGTAAGCATTTCAAGATCTTAGTGTCCCAGGACAGTGAGCCCCCTACTCACTCCACCCAGCAACATGGAATTACAAGTACAAACTACACTGAACTCTAAAATGCAGACAAAGAATTCCAACAAAGCCTGCCTGTAATCCTAGTGCTTTGGGAAGCTGAGGGGAGGCAGATCTTGTGATCTCTTGAGGCCAGGCATTCGAGACCCACCTGAGCACTACAGTGAGACCCCATCTCTACAAAAAAAATTTTAAGAATTAGCCAGGTGTGAAAAAAAATTAACCAGGCATGGGGGCATGCTCCTGTGGTCGCAGCTACTTGGGAGGCTGAGACGGGAGAATCACTTGAAGCCAGGAAATCGAGGTATAGTGCTCACTGCAGTCTCAACCTCCCAGACTCTAGCAATCCTCCCACCTCAGCCTCCTGAGTAGCTGAGACCACAGGTGTGCACCACCATGCACAGTTGATTTATTTCAGATCTTTGGGAGAGATGAGGGCTTATTATATTGCCCAGGCTGGTCTCAAACTCCTGGCCTCAAGTGATCCTCCCAAAGTCCTGCATTACAAGTGTGAGCCAGTATGCGATAGATAGATTACCACCCTGATCTATTAATTAATTAACGGAGTCTCCCTCTGTCACTCAGGCTGGAGTGCAATGGCTTGATCTCAGCTCACGGCAACCTCTGCCTCCCAGATTCAAGCGATTCTCCTGCCTCAGCCTCCTGAATAACTGGGATTACAGGCACCCACCACCATGCCCAGCTAATTTTTGGTATTTTTAGTAGAGGCGGGGTTCCACCATGTTGGCCAGGCTGGTCTTGAACTCCTGACCTCAGGTGGTCCACCTGCCTTGGCCTACCAAAGCGCTGGGATTACAGGCGTGAGCCACTGCACCCAGCCTATTGGAGTCTTTAAAAACAAAGTTATGGGCCCTGTTTTGCTGGTACCTCTAGCACATGCTCACTGTATCCACGGGAGAACATGAATCATTCACACTCCAGGCTGGTTGTTAGGCAGCGCTGAGCAGGAATATCTCCTACTCGCCTGCTGTTTATGCAGCACCAGGCCCCTTGTAAACACTTTACCTGCATCAGCTCACTGAATCCTCACAACGTCCATTGTACAGAAGAGGAAACTGAGGCATCGAGAGGTTAAGTGACTTCTTTGAGGTCACACAGCTGGGGAATGGTGGCAACAGTCAGAGCCTGAGCTGTGGTTGGTAGTTCATTCTGGACAGCCCTCCCGAGAACCGTCCCTGTACTGGCACTTGTTGGGTGCTGTCACTGTCCTCTCCCTCCCTGGCCGGGTGTGTTCTGGAGGGCAGGGAAGCGTCTTGGCACTCGGGTGCACGCCGCCCCCTCGGCCTCCTGGGCTCCCCGAGCCTCGCAGGACCCCGGACGCCCGCGACCTCTAGCCCCGCCCCAGCTCCGGGCCGCGGGGGCGCACCGCGGGCGTCGGGCGGGGCTGCCCAAGTGGGTAAAAACGGCGCCGCCCTGGGCTCGGCACTCACGACTCGGACTACGACTCCGACAGCACTGACAGCTATGGTGCGTGCGAGCCTCCCGCTGGCGCTGGGCCTGGCCCTGGTAGCGTTCTGCCTCCTGGCGCTACCCCGCGACGCCCGTGCCGGGCCCCAGGGGCGCATGGTTGGAGAACGCCAGGACCTGTCGCCCGATGACCCGCAGGTGCAGAAGGCGGCGCAGGCGGCCGTGGCCCACTACAACATGGGCAGCAACAGCGTCTACTACTTCCGAGACACGCACATACTCAAGGCGCAGAGCCAGGTGCGGCGGGCCAGGGGCGGGGGGCACCGCGCCCAGGCGGGGGGGGCCACAGGCACTGCCCGAGCGTGCATGAAAGGGGCCCGAAGGCGCAATCGGGATATTTTCATGCAATATCTAAAAAACCGAATTAATGCCAAAACTCCATGATGGGCAACCATCTAAATTTCAAGGAAAGACAGAATCCAACCCTGTATCGCACCACCTGCCTGTCTGGCTGGCCTGGCCCTAGTCTCTGCCCTGATGGGGTAGACTAGGGAGGGGAGGCAGTTGGGGACAGTGGGCAGCTCTCCAGGTGGGCCATGTCTGATGACTGCCCAGGCTGCCAGTGGGGTCAGCCTCCAGGTCTCTCCACCCCGCATCCCCACCAGAACATCCACTCCCCCCACTCAGGTCTGAATCATCCCCTCTCCCCTCCCCCAACCTGAGTGCCTGGGGGCAATGGGAGAATATGCCGGGAGGTGAGAGGTTGGGATTAAGGGTCAAGACCCCTGACCTGCCCCTACCCTATGTCCCCAGCTGGTGGCCGGCATCAAGTACTTCCTGACGGTGGAGATGGGGAGCACAAACTGCCGCAAGACCAGGGTCGCTGGAGACCACCTCGACCTCACTACCTGCCCCCTGTCGGCAGGGGCGCAGCAGGAGGTAACAGCGGGGCTCCTCTGGCCCCAGCCCTCCCCAGAGCCTCAGGCCCTCACGTCGTCCAGCCTGAACTGGTTTGGCTGAACACGCAGATATCTAGATGTCTGGCTGAACCTGTTGGCCTCCTGGATGAGTCAGCCTCTAGGCCAAGATGGGGTGTAGAAAGGAGGCTGGGGCTTCCCTCAGGAATGGGGAAGTTGGCTACCAAGATCTGGAGTCTAGCCCCGGCCATGTAGCTCGACATCCCTTGGGCCAGTAACTGCTCCTCTCTGCCACGGAGCAGCATGGCAGGCAAAGGGCTGGCTGCTGGGAGAAGGTGGATGGAGGCTGGGCTTACCCCTCCTTCTCCCCCATGTTCTCTCTACAGAAGCTGCGCTGTGACTTTGAGGTCCTTGTGGTTCCCTGGCAGAACTCCTCTCAGCTCCTAAAGCACACCTGTGTGGAGATGTAATAATTGCCCAAGGGTGAATGCCATTGGGTTTGGGGCCACGGTGGAGGGCACTTCAGGTCCATGGGCCACAACTGTCACAATAAATGGCCAGTGCCGCTTCTTGCATTGGTTTCTCCTAAGTGCTTCGCTTCTCCCCCCAACCCCCACTCCTACTTCTGGCAGCTCCCAGCTCCCCAGCCCAAGCTGAGAGGTCACCCTGCCACCTGCAGCAGATCTGCTGCTGTCCCAGTCCAGACAGTGCTGAAGGTGCAGGGCTGAGCCCCCTAAACACCCCAGCATCACAGGCATAGAGGAGCAAACCTCAGAGCCACACACATAGCCAGAGACTCCCAATATTCTCAGAGGTAAGGGGTGGGTGCAAACCTACAGAGAATGGGTGATGCCCTGAACAGGGCTGGCTGCCTGGGAGTACTCTGAGGAGGAGTCTGTGCTCTGCTCCCACTCAGCCCCAGGAGGGACTCATGGGTGGCATGTGGGGCTTCAGCCAGGTGGTGTCCTCACTCAGGAACCTATAAAGATTCCTCCACTTGCATGTGGCCCAATGATGGCAGAACCCCTGCAGGCCAAGAGACCTTGGGGGCCAGGACAGTGCCTCTCAAGTCCACGCTGTGGGCTCCACACCACAAGGATGCCTCTCATGCCATGCCCTGGGCAAGACGCCTGGATGGGGCTGGACTGGGAGCCCTAGAGGGGCAGAGCTCATTACCACCCACAGGAGGGATGAGGGGACAGATTCAACCTAATGTCATGTAAAGAAAACAGCATTGCAGGAGGGGTACAGTGGCCTGTAATCCCAGCACTTTGGGAGGCCAAGGCAGGTGGATCACGAGGTCAGGAGTTCAAGACCAGCCTGGCCAAGATAGTGAAACCCCATCTCTTAAAAACAAAAAACAAAACAAAAAAAAACAGCATTGCGGCCACGTGCAGTGACTCACACCTGTAATCCCACCACTTTGGAAGGCAGAGGCCGGCAGATCACCTGAGGTTCGAGACCAGCCTGGCCAACATGACAAAACCCTGTCTTGACTAAAAATTATCTGGGTGTGGTGGTGGGCATCTGTAATCCCAGCTACTCAGGAGGCTGAGGTAGGAGAATCACGAACCTGGGAGGCAGAGGTTGTGGTGAGCTGAGATCGCACCACTGCACTCCAGTCTGAGAGACAGAGCAAGACCCCATTTCAAGGAGGAGGAGGGGGAGGGGGAGGGGGAGGAGGAAAAGGAGGAGGAGGGGGGAAAAAAGAAGAAAAACAAAGAAGACATCATTGCAACATTTGCACACCTGAATTTGTAGCTACAATTCATGCCCCCAACACATACACACACACACACCCCTAAAGCACAGCACACCAGACATACACACACAGACACCCAGAGCACACACTCATGCTGGCAGATATCACACGCATACCCAGAGAAACACAGCCTAGCGACTCATGAGCACAGAAGCAACACACCCCAGATAAACAACCTGGAGATGTACACACAAAACCCAAACACAACCCAAGGCCACACCCAGAGGCGTTCCTCAGACACACAAGAACACACCCACGCCTGGGACACGGGCCTTGGGGGCGCAAGGTGTCGGCACCATCAGGCCCAGGCAGGCAGCACTGCAGTGGCTGCGGAGAGCATCCCACGGTCCCTTCCCTTCTGACAAGGCCTCACACCCTGCTTGTGCCTGCCTGGTCCCCTGTCCAAGGATGGGGCCTAATGAGCAGCAGCCCCAGCTCCCAGGCCCTGCCCTCTGCCTTCGGAGGCCATATTGGGGTGGGGATGGGGAAGTGGAAAGTAGGCACTGGCTCCCATCTGGGAGTGGGCAGCTGAGGGGGTGGCATTTGACAGGAGCTGGGGACCCAGGAGATGACATCCAGCTCTGTTGCTGCCCAAGCCTGTCAGATGTGGCAGCTCAGACAGCCCAGGGTGTGCGGGGGGGGCCCGCTGTTTGGAAGGTCTCCCCTGTGCCACCAAGCAGGGGCTCCCAGCATGGGACAGGCACAGGGTAGGTGGCAGGAAATGCCTGTTGAATGAATGTGTGAGGTGGTGGGGAGAGGCAAGGCCCAGAGACGTCTGCCAGGTGATCTCTCCGCCCTGGAATCTGTGCCCAAATCCCAGATGGCATTTCCTCTGCACAGTTTATTCCAGGACCCTGGGTTGGGCCAGACCAGGGAGGGGGCATGCTTCTTCTGTCCTGGGGCCCTGGAAGCTCCAGCACTGACTGGCCCAGAGATGGGAGGGTTGGCAAAAAACTATTGCCCTTCAGCCCCTACTGACTCCCTCCAGCCTGCATCACACCCTGGCTCCGCCTCTGCTGGAGGTGGGATGTCTGCTGTAGATCACGGAAAACCCTCCACCCAAGGAGAGACCCTCAGGGCTAGGCTTGAACTTGCCTCAGTGCCAGATCTCCAGCACCCAGCATAGGCCAGTGTCCCACTGTCACTTCCAAGCATGGGGACAGGGGCTCTGGACATCCAGCCTAGGCTCAGACTCTAAGTCGGGGAGCTCATCTAAGCCCTAGAGCAGGCAGTGGGGTGCAGTCTTCAACCTCATTCCCTGCTTCCCTCTCCCAGCAGCAGGATCCTCCCCACACCCCTGCCTGCCCCCTTTCCCTGAGGCCAGAAAGACGAGCAGCCCCCACTCTACCACCCCTCAGTGCGGCTCTAGAGTCTGACTCCAGGAAGGGCAGGATATGGCAGTGACCTCTGACCTCTGAGTTCCTGTTAACCCTATCCAGTTGGCGCTCTTCTCCAGGAGCTGAGGGTCCCGGCAGGATTCAGTTTCTGGGCTCTGGGCCCCCATTTCTCGAGCCCACTGGTCCCTGAGGCCTAGCAACCCTCGGCTTTTCCAGCCTATTCTTTTTTCTCCTGACTCTGGGCCAGATGGGCCTTCCTCCCCAAAGCAGGGTTACTGTGTCCTCAGCCCTCCCGGCACCTGAGCCCAGACCACGTTCTACCTCAACCTTCCGGCTGCTGCTAATGCCCTGCTGGGCTGAGCTAGGATGCAGGCCCTGGTGGGGCTGGAGGGGATCCAAAAGTAGCCCCTTTCACATACAACGTTGGCATACACGCAATGCTGGCACCCACTCGGGTGTGTGTGTTCACCAATTCCCTTCCCAGCGCCTAGGTCCAGCCAGTGAGGACATGGAGCCTCCTGGGGTTTAAAAACTCTATTAGGGCCCAGACAATCATTCCAGCAGATCTGGGGACCTGCCCCAGTGTACCCAGGTGGGCAGACTGCCAGGGCTGAAGTCTGTAACTGGTGTCCTTCTCCTGGGGTCAGTTCCTGAAGTCCTCTTCTCCGACCTGTGGAGGTTGGTGGGGCACAGCTGGGTGAATGAGCCAGCACAGCCTCTGCCCTCCCATATCCCCATGGGAATGTTACTCAGGGCCACTTCTGGCTACAAGCTCCCGGGTTCCCCTCACTTGGCAGGGGAAGGGGCTCTGGACATCCAGATGAGCTCCCCGACTTAGCATCTGAGCCTTCCTGTTCCTGCCTGGTTCACCTCAAATGTGGTGTCCACGATCTCATCGATGATGGCTGCCTGGGAGCAGAACTGCTGCTGATGCTGCTCCACGTTTGCCACCAGCTGCAGGTAGAGGAACAGGAACTCCTGCTGCCTGTGGGTGGGGGGACACAGAGGCAGGGGCTGGGCTGACCTGCCGGCTAGGCTTCCTGGGCCCCAGAGCCAGCCAGAGGCTCTTCTTGCTTGCCTCCTCCCTGCACAATTTATATGACTGCAGAGCTCTTTCCAGGAGGTCTCCTTTTCCACATACAAGAAAGCCCCACGTCTGCCTGTAGCACAGAGGCTTCTGGCTTTGTTTATCCTCCTAACCGCCCAGCTCATCTGCCCCGTACCTCTCCATGCACCCACTCGACCATCCACCCATCCATCCACCCACCTCCTGATCCAGTCACTCACCCGTCTGGCTCTCCAGCCACTCACCGCCTGCTCCATCCACCTGCTCTTCCCTGTAGCCGCCCTCCCAACCCATCGACACCTTCTATACTGTGTAGTCAGCCATCCACCTGTCCATCCACCCACTCATCAACATACATTACACATCCTTGACCCATTCACACCCTCCTGCCATCTTGTCAGCCCATTCCTCAAAGAACACTGGAAACAATGGGCACTGCCGGTGCTTCAAGGAGATGCAGATGAACAAGAGACTTTGCCCTCAGAGCCGAGAGCTGCTGACACTCTAAGGCATGAACTTGGGTGCTGAGGGTCCGGGAGGAGGGAAACCTTGCCCAGTGCTGGGGATCTGGAAAGGCTTCTGGAGACAGCGTCAATGAGCTGAGTTTGAACGGTAAGTGAAAGGCTGGGCGCAGTGACTCACACCTGTAATCCCAACACTTCAGGAGGCCGAGGCAAGTGGATCATTTGAGGTCAGGAGTTTGAGCCTGGCCAACATGGTGAAACCCCATCTCTACTAAAAAAGTCCAAAAAAATAAATAGCCAGGGGTGGTGGCGCATGCCTGTAATTCCAGTTACTCAGGAGGGTGAGGTGGGAGAATTGCTTGAACCCAGGAGGTGGAGGTTACGGTGAGCCTAGATTGTGCTACTGCACACTCTGGGTGACAGAGTGAGACTGCCTCAAAAAAAGAAAGAAAGAGGGAGGGAGGGAAGGAGGAAGGGAGGGAAGGAAGAAAGGAAGGAAGAAAAGAAGGAAGGAAGGAAGAAAGGAGAGAGAGAGAAGGGAGGGAGGGAAGGAAGGAAAAGAGGGAGGGAGGGAAAGAAAGAGAGAGGAAGAAAGAAACAAGAAAAGGAAAAAAGAGAAAGAAAGAAGAAAGAGAAAGAAAAAAAGAAAGAAAGAAAGAGTAAGGAAGGAAGGGAGGGAGGGAGGGAGGGAGAAAGAAGAGGGTTTGCCAGGCTCGGGCAGGGCTCCTGGTGCTCCAAGGCCTGGCTCCCCAGAGACCCTTCTCATGGGGACAGCATGAGTTCCCAGCTGTCCTGGTCTAGCTGGTCACTCAAGTAGACAGGAATGGAGGTTGAGCATCTGGGATCCAGGCCTTGACCTAAGCCGTTCCTCCAATCGCCTCATCATCCCTCCACCAGGCTGAAGTCCACTCATCCTCTGCGGCCCAACACAGGTCTTTAGAGGTGGGGTCCTCATGGGTAGGGGCTGAGTCTGTGTCCTCTTTGGGTGTCCGCAGCCCTCACAGGGACCACCCTGACAAAGGTTGGGGATGGTTATGGGGTGTAGGAATGGGTGGAGTCCTTGCTGCTGGGATTACCCAGGTGGCACACACACCTCTGGGTGTGCAGGAGCCACTCCAGGTCTCCATGCTGCACCCACAGTCTCATCCACAAGTGTCAGCACTCCATCCCCTTCCAGAGGGGCCGGCCATGCCCCTTCTCCCGCAGCCCTCCAGCCAGGCCTTGCCCTTAGGCACAGGCCTCGCTCCCTTCCTGTCTCCTCACTTCTGAGTCATGGTCCCAAACTTCTTCTCGATGAGTCGCTTCAGCATGGTGCCTTCACTCAACACCTCTTTGGGCTCTGGATGTAGAGAAGGAAGGGTGAGGTCAAGAAGATGCCTGGATGTGGAGAGGAGGCAGAGGAACCCCCTGTGTCAGGAAGATAACGGCTAGAGGCGTTTCTGTCCAGGCTGCTCCAAGGCTGCTTTTCCAGGCGTGCGGCTCCATGCAGTTCTTTTTGCTTGTTTGCCTGTCCGGCACCTACCCCACTTCTTTCTGGGAGAAATACTCCCATTTTCCTGAGGAACTAATCACTCCTACCCCTTTTCCATCCACATCCTTTGGCTGAGGTTAGCCCCACCCTCCAGCTTCGAAGACAGGTGACTTAGGCCTGGCCAATCAGAACTTTTATTTTTTTGAGGCAGATTCTCCCTCTTGTCTCCCAGGCTGGAACGTAATGGTGCAACCTTGGCTCACCACCACCTCTGCCTCCCAGGTTCAAGTGATTTTCCCACCTCAGCTTCCCAAGTAGCTGTGATTACAGGCACCCGTCACCACACCCAGCTAATTTTTGTATTTTTAGTAGAGATGGGGTTTCACCATGTTGGCCAAGTGGTCTTGAATGCCTGACCTCAGTGATCCACCCATCTTGACCTCCCACAGTGCTGGGATTACAGGCATGAGCCACCTCGCCCAGCCTCTTTTTTTTAGACAGAATCTCAATCTGTTGCCCAGGCTGGAGTGCAGTGGCACCATCTCAGCTTACTGCAAACTCTGCCTCCCAGGTTCAAATGATTTTCCTGCCTCAGCCTCCCGAGTAGCTAGAATCACAGGCGCACACCACTAAGCTGGGCTAACTTTTGTATTTTAGTAGAAGCAGGTTTTGTATTTTAGTTTCACCATGTCGGCCAGGCTGGACTTGAACTCCTGACCTCAATCGATCTGCCTGTCTCAGCCTCCCAAAGTGCTAGGATGAAGGCGTGAGGCACCACACCTGGCCCCAAGTGGGTTTTTTAAGATTAGACAAGCAGAGCTGGGTGCAGTGCTCACACCTGTAATCTCAGCACTTTGAGAGGCCAAGATGGGAGGATCATCTGAGGTCAGGAGTTCAAGTTTGAGACCAGCCTGGTCAACATGGTGAAACCCCGTCTCTACTAAAAACACAAAAAAAAATTAGCTGGGCATGGTGGCGCGTGCCTGTAATCCCAGCTACTCGGGAGGCTGAGGCAGGAGAATTGCCTGAACCCAGGAGGCGGAGGTAGCGGTGAGCCGAGATTGTGCCATTGCACTCCAGCCTGGGTAACGAGAGCGAAACTCCGTCTCAAAAAAAAAAAAAAACACAAAAATTAGGTGGGCGTGGTGGCACATGCTTGTAGTCCCGGCTACTCAGGAGCTGAGATGGAAGGATTGCTTGACCCTGGGAGGCAGAGGCTGCGGAGAGCAGAGATCCGCCGCTGCACTCTAGCCTGTGTGACAGAGCAAGACTCCATCTCAAAAAAAAAAAAAAAAAAAGATTTGACAAGCAGTTTAATTGGCTTTGGGAGGATTGTCCTAGAGTCCTCTGGACTAAAGTCCTCCTGAGTCTCAAATTCTAAAACTCTAAAACTGAGCCTGGGATTCTGTGTCTGACTGTGGAGGATGGTTGGGGGCCTGGAGAGACTGGCCCCCCACTGAGGTCGGGCAGGTGGGGCCAGGGTAGGCCGAGCTGGTACCTGCAGCTTTGAGCTCTGTCAATGAGTCTTCCAGCGGATTCTTTTGGATCCAGGTAGCCTTCTGGGAAGAAGAGGCCTCAGATCTGCCAGGGTCCCAGGCCTGCTCATCCCTGGAGCCCTCTGGCCTCGCTCCTCCAGCTTCCTGATTGGGTCCACCCGTCCCACCCCACTCGGTACCTCCTGCTTCACTTTCTCGGAGCCTTTCAGCAGCGCCATCTGGAAATTATCCACCAGGACAGCAATCAGCAGGCTGGGAGGGGGACAGGAGGGTGCCCTCAGCGAGGAGGCCAGAGGAGAGGGGCACCCTGTACTTCCTATGGGTTCAGCATGGCATGATCAGGGTGAGAGGGCTGGGGTAGGGGTCCCAGGGGCAAGGAGGAGGAGGGGGTGGCACTGGGCAGCAGAGCAGGGGTGGGTCCTCACTTGAGGAAGATGAAGTACTGGATGATGATGTAAATCATGAGGATGGGAATGATGTACCAGGCACCTGGGGGGAGCAGGTCAGAGGGCGCAGTCAAGCTGTGCTTGGCTCCCAACCAGGACCTGCCCCCTGACACCCCGATCCACAGGCATCAGAAGCCCCACTTTGCTGATGGGATCACTGAGCCCTCAGAGCCAGTCCATCCGGCCAATCCCCTGCCATGCCCGCAGACTGGGGCCTGCCCTACCCTGGGCACGGCTGTCCATGTAGACGAGGGACCAGTCATCCAGCGTAAGCAAGGTGAAGAGGGTGAAGATGGTGGTGAAGATGTTCTGGAAGCGCTTGGGGTCTGATTTGAGGAACAGCGCTCGGAGGACCACGGAGAAGAGGACTGGCTGGTCAGGGCCAAACTCGGCTCTCGGGTCCTATCCCAGCCGCAGCGCCCTGCCCCATCCCCAACCCTCACACCCTTTCCACTGCAGCCCCTCAGGCCCCACCCCCTAGCCCCTGCAGCACCAGGATACGGAGGCAGGTAAACATGAGGATGAGGATGGCTGCGATGGATGGCAAGGACTGGCCCAGGGTCCCTGTCACTTCCTGGACACTGTTCAGGAAACTGTGGGCAGAAGAGCAGGGACTGAGTCATCAGGGTGGGGGGTCTGTGCCCAGCAACCAGAGCTAGCGCTGAAGGCAGGAGGCCCCTGACTTGGTGATTTGGGTGAGTCCCAGCCCCTCTCTGGAAAAATGAGGGGGCTGATTCCAGTGCACGGCAGGAGGCAGAAGCAGGCTGGGGTCAGCAGCCTCCTGTGCCCCCAACCCTTGAGCAGGTTACGGTGGATTTCTTGGAGGCCCCGACCTGTGTCCCCTCTTCCTGTGGAGCCATGGCCACAGACCTGAGCCTCCGCAAGACCCGGATGGCCCTCAGGACCCGAAGGCTCTTGAAGACCTTGATGATCCGGAAGAGGTTTTGGTGGTAGATGGCGAAGGAGTGGGTCAGCATCAGCACGAAGTCCAGCACGGCCATGGACATGATGAAGAAGTCTGAGGGCACAGGGGCACCTGAGCCTGGCAGGATCCTGATGACAGCGCCCGCTTCCCCACCCCTCTCTCGGTCTGAGCACCCCCCACCCCAGACTAAACATCGGCAGCCTGGCCCCGGCCCCACCCACCCAGATTGTTCCAGAAGTCGTAGAAGTATGAGAGGCCCAGGGCGAAGATCTTGAGCAGGGCTTCCAACACATAGATGCAGAAGAAGATGGAATCCAAAGCCATGAAGTACCACTCTGCAGGAACACAGGGTGCGTACAGGGCTGTCCCAGCACCCAGAACCTGCCCTCTCCTCAGCATGAGTCTCACACAATCCCAGATTCCTAGGTTCTCCCCGGTTCTGCCTAAGCAGCTGTGCGACTTAACCACTGCTCTGTGCCTCGGTTTTCTTGTCTTTAAAATGGGGATAACTGTTGTTGGGCACAGTGGCTCATGCCTGTAATCCCAGCACTTTGGGAGGCCGAGGCAGGCAGATCACCTGAGGTAAGGAGTTCGAGAGCAGCCTGGCCAACATGGTGAAACTCCGTCTGTATCAAAAATTAAAAAATTAGCTGGGTGTGGTGGCTCATGCCTGTAATCCCAGCTCCTCGGGAGGCTGAGGCAGGAGAATCATTGAACCCAGGAGGCGGAGGTTGCAGTGAACCGAGATCACGCACTGCACTCCAGCCTGGGCAAAAGAGCGAGACTACGTCTAAAATAAAATAAAATGGGGATAATTGAAGTCCACTTTATAGAGTCATGAGCATTAAATGCATGAACACAAGCAAAGTGCTTAGAATGGAGCCTGAGGCAGCGAGCCAGGCGGCTCCCGGCCTTCACCCTGCTCCCTGGCGTCAGAGGGCCCAGCCTTCCCCAGCCTTCCATCCTCTCCCTCCAGGGCCTTCTCCGCTCCCGGCCCTTCCCGCGAAGCTCGGTCCCAGGCGACCGCCCGCCCGCTCTCAGCCGCTCGTTTGGAGCAGATGCGTCCCCTCGTGGCAGCGGCGCGAACAGCATCGCCTCCGGCCCAGCTGGTCCTCGGGTCTCTCGCCGGCCGGCCGACCTCAGCGGGGTCTTTCTGAGCCGCTCTCTAACGCCAGGCAATACCATCTACTTCCCAGGGGTGAGGATTAAGTGAGCCGAGTCCTATAAACCGCCCCGCACTGGATCAGGCCCACGGAGGCCCTGGAACAGCACGGTGGCTTCTCCATGGGAACAGGACTCCTTGGCTCTTACCACCCCGGATCTCGACTTCTGCAAAGGTCTGGGCCACCAGCATGATGGTGTTGAGGCAGACGATGAAGACGACGAAGGCTTCAAAGGCCAGGGATTGGGTCAGCGACCGGATCATTTCCCGGAAGCCCTGAATGAGATGGCTTAACTTTTCCCACAGCCATTGTAAGAGATTGGTAGACTGTCCCTTCTTGTGGGTCCGCTGGTGCTGGCTAACTGAAAGGAAAAGCGACAGAAAGTCAAGTGTGTGCAGGCGGGGGACATAAGGTCCCAAGCGCCCTCCCAGCCTGGGTCAGCATCCATGGTCACTCCCGCCTGTTTGCTGGCCCTCCGCTGGCCAAGCCGCTTCTGTGCTAGTCCTGTGCCTTCTGTGGCAGGACCCAGCCTGTTGGGGATTTGGAGTTGACTTCTGGGGATCCTGAGGACTCCCACTCCTACGGAAGGTCAGCGTGGGGCCCAGGTCAAGTGTGGAACCTGCGCCAGGCAGTGGGAGTTGGCATAAGGGGCCCAGCAAGGACTCACTTTTGCGTTTCCGAGATTGCCCCTCTTCTTTGCCCCGGTTTTCTGAGTCTTTGGTGGAGATAATCTGGGGATGGAGTTTTTTGGACATCTGGTTGGCATGTGAGTGGATTGAAGTGCCGGATGGAACCATGCTGTGGGCCGAGCCCCTTGGGTGTGCCATGTGAGAGGGGAAGGCTCCTGCATGAGAAGCACCAGGGCTGAGGGCATCGCGAATCAAGTTGGGGGACTGCCGTGGGATGGAGAGCTGGGAAGGGCTCTGGACAGAGTCCCTATACTGGTAGTCGCTGCGGAGGTAACCGGAATGACGTGCGCCATGGTGGTGGTCTCGGTGCTGGTGGTCTTGGTGCTGGTGGGTCTGGTGGTGGTGGTGCTGTGAGTGGTGGGGGTGCTCATCGCGGTGGTGCTCGCCGGGGTGGCGATCATCTTGGCGGTACTCGCCGTGATAGTCAGGTATACCCACAAAGGAAGGATGGGAAAGGGCCTCTCCGTGATGAGGAGGTCTTCCATGCTGTGGGACTTGGCGATGGTGGGGCCAGCCATGTTGGTGGGCTTGGCGATGGTGGGTCCTGTCAGGTTGGATCCCGCTAATGTAGAAAGCCTCATTTTGGTGGAAGGACTCACTGTAGGCAACAGGTCCATGGGGCAGGTAGGACCCATCACTGTGGGAAGCCTCGCTGCCTTGGTGGGACATGCCAGAGGAATAGCGGGACAAATTCTCACCACGATTGTGCTGTCTGCGGTGGTGGTGGGACCCCCCGTGGTAGCGGGAGTCACTCTGCTGCTGGGACCCACTGTATTGGGACACATCGGAAAGCCTCCTGCCATCAAAGTAGTCCTCAGCATAGGGATGCAGGGAGGGGGCGGCCCCTTGAGGGGGAGCCAGACCGAAGCCCGTGGGGCCGTGGGCCTTGCCATGATTCCGCGCCTCGTTGTGGCGATGAGACTGGGGGACATGGGAGGAGGAGGCACGGCCGTGGAAGTCTTGGAACTCCGGAGGGTGGCGAGATTCATCACGATGATGGGGCACACCGTGATGTGACTTGTGATGGTGGTGAGATCCACCGTGGCCTGGCCTGTGGTATGGGGGTGATGAGTGGGAGTGGAAGAACACGTCTGCGTTATTGGTGTCCGCCTCATTCTGAGCCTTTTTAGGCCTTAAGTTTTGATCCATGACTGTGCCGGGAACTCTGGAGGGAAGAGCACTCAAGATCTGGGCCCAACAGGCCCCGCCTGGATTCTCTCCTTCCTGAGCCCAGCTCAGTGCAGACTGTGGCACTGGGCTCCCAAAGGCCTGACTATTCTCACGGAACCCTCCCCTCTATGACGTCATCAGCAGGCCAGGGCATCATTCCCAAATGCCTCTTCCTGGGCTATAGTTCAGAATCAAGAATGATTGTGTCTAACTCCTTCATTGTAAATGAGGAAGTGGAGATCAAGAAAAGGGAAGGCCTGGACCACGGTGACCCCACAGGTCACTGGCAAAGTTGGACTAAGAAGTCCCTGGGGATACCATGGCTTCATCAGCTGCTTTAGCCCTGTTTTTGGGGGGAAATAAATGGTCCAAGTGGCTGAGCACAGTGGCTCATGCCTGTAATCCCAGCACTTTGGGAGGCCAAGGCAGGCGGATCACCTGAGGTAGAGTTCGAGACCAGCCTAACCAACATGGAGAAACCCTGTCTCTACTAAAAATACAAAATTAGCCAGGCATGGTGACAGTCACCTGTAATTCCAGCTACTCAGGATAGTGAGGCAGAAGAATCACTTGAACCCGGGAGGTGGAGGGTGGGTGAGCTGAGATCGCGACACTGTACTCTAGCCTGGGCAACAAGAGCAAAACTGTCTCAGAAAAATAAAAAAAAGAGAGAGAAAATGGTCCAAGTGGTCCAGTCCCCAGTCCATCTAAAAATCAGTTGGGGGTGGGGTGAAGACTGCCTGACTCCGCCATAAGTAGGTGTGTGACCTTGGGCTTGTTGCTGAACTTTCCTATGCCTCAGTTTCTTCCTCTGTAAAATGGGAATAATAACACCCTACAGGATCAAAAAAGTTGATACGTAAGCCTTATAGTAGCTTTTGTTTGTTTGTTTTGTTTTGCTTGATACAGAGTCTCGCTCTGTCACTCAAGCTGGAGTGTATCAGCACAATCTCAGCTCACTGCAATCTCTGCCTCCCAGGTTCAAGTGATCCTCTTGCCTCAGCCTCCCAAGCAGCTGGGATTACAGGCAACCCCCACCACACTCCACCCTGGCTAATTTTTGTATTTTTAATAGAGATGGGGTTTCACCGTGTTGGCCAGGCTGGTCTTGAATTCCTGGCCTCAAATGATCCAACCACCTCAGCCTCCCAAAGTGCTGGGATTACAGGTGTGAGCCACCATACCTGGTCGATTCTTGTTAATTGGCATTATTATTCTCTTCTTGATCATTGATATCATGGAACAACCCTTCCACCCAGGGTTATTACCAAAATAAAACTATCAGCAATCATTTATTGAGGATTGCTTCATATACATTTTGTTTTCTTTTCTTTCTTTCTTTCTTTCTTTTTTTTTTTTTTTTTTGAGACGGAGTCTTGCTCTGTCGCCCAGGCTGGAGTGCAATGGCGCAATCTCTTACAATTTTCTTATAAAGAGCAGATTAGGGGCCGGGCGTGGTGGCTCATGCCTGTAATCCCAGCACTTTGGGAGGCCGAGGTGGGTGGACCGCCTGAGCTCAGGGGTTCAAGACTCTCCTGAACAACATGGTGAAACCCTGTCTCTACTAAAATACAAAAAATTAGCCCGACATGTGGCATGTGCCTGAAGTCCCAGCTACTTGAGAGGCTGAGGCACAAGAATCGCTTGAGCCCAGGAGGTGGAGGTTGCAGTGAGCCAAAATTGCACCATTGAATTCCAGCCTGGGTGACAGAGTGAGACCTTGTCTCAAAGAAAAAAAAAAGAAAAACAGGACTGTGTTCATTCAGTTGGGTCTTTCTCATTTTTTAACATGACATTGAGAAGTCTGTTGATAATTTATGAGCATGCATGGCTGGGGAGGAGGTTGAGGATGATGATACCATCCTTGCCCTGCTGCATTCCCTCCCCAACCTCCGTTTACGTACCAGCAACTGACTTATGGGAGCAAAGAAACCTGAACTGGTGTGATAGAAAATCAGAGGAAAATTTCCTTCTAAAGAAAGAATTTGTAAGTGCTGTGAGTCAGCTGCCTCCCTGCTATTTTGCTGTTGAAGTAAACATGATAAAACATGAATTATGCAGGTTAGTATTACAGTAAATTTCTTTTTCTTTTTTCTGATACAGAGTCTTGCTCTGTTGCCCAGGCTGGGGTGCAGTGGCACAATCTCGGCTCACTGCAACCTCCACCTTCCAGGCTGAAGCGATTCTCCTGCCTCAGCCTCCTGAGTAGCTGGGATTACAGGCGCCTACTACTGTGCCCTGCTAATTTTTGCACTTTTAGTAGAGACAAGGTTTCACCATGTTGGCCAGGCTGGTCTCAAACTCCTGATCTCAGGTGATCCTCCCATCTCGGCCTCCTAAAGTGCTGGGATTACAGGCGTGAGCCATCGTGCCTAGCCCAAATAGACTTTTTTTTTTTAATGGCACATTTACTCGGCTCCAGCAAAATGGAAAAAGAACCTAACTACAATTAGGTTTAATTCTTTATCGATAACCAACCTTACCAGATTTGTCCATAGACCTGGACCTAGAATTCTCCCCTTTTATTTCATACCCCATTTTTAAAAAGAACCCACATTGGCCTGTTATAATCATTTGTAAAACACAGAGGCTAATAAGGTATAAAATAGAAGGGCACACAGATGACTAAACAAGGCACTTGCAAAAAATATGAAATCCTCACAATGAAATTTACTATAGGCTGGGCGTGGTGACTCATGCCTGTAATCCCAGCACTTTGGGAAGCCAAAGTGGGGAGCGTCACTTGAGGCTAGGAGTTCAAAGCCAGCCTGGACAACAGAGAAAGACGCTCTGTATAAAACTTTTAAAAATTAGTTGGGTGTGGTGGCATGCTGTGGTCCCAACTACTCCAGAGGCTGAGGCAGGAGGATCACTTGAGTCTAGGAGGCTGAGGCTACAGCGAACCGTGATAACACCACTGCCTAGGTGACAGAGCGAGAACTTGTCTATTAAAAAAAAAGAAAAAAGGCCAAGCACAGTGGCTCACACCTGTAAACACAGGACTTTTGGAGGCCAAGGTGGGTGGATCTCCTGAAGCCAGGAGTTCAAGACCGTCCTGGACAACATAGTGAAACCTTGTCTCTACTAAAAATTAAAAAATTAGTGAGGCGTGGTGGCAGGCGCCTGTAATCCCAGATACTTTGGAGGCTGAGGCAGGAGAACTGCTTGAACTCAGGAGGCAGAGGTTGCAGTAAGCTGAGATCGCGCCACTGCACTCCAGCCTGGGCAACAAGAGCCAGACTCACTGCTTTCTTCACAGAGATGCTGATGTCAGAAACTCTTGGAGATAAAAAGAAATGATGCAGCAATATGTTTTGCTTTATTCAACAAAGACTAGCTCACTTGAAAGTGTTTTAAAAACTGGCCAGACAGGTGGGGTGCAGTGGCTCATGCCTGTAACCCCAATACTTTGGGAGGCCAAGGCAGGCAGATGATCTGAGGTCAGGAGTTCGAGACCAACCTGGTCAACATGGTGAAACCTGGTCTCTACTAAAAATAGAAAAATTAGCTGGGCGTGGTGGCACATGCCTCTAACCCCAACTACTCAGGAGACCAAGGTGGCAGAATCATTTGAACTCGGGAGGTGGAGGTTGCAGCGAGCCAGCCTGGGTGAAAGTGCTGGGATTATAGGTGTGATGCACCATGCCTGGCAATATATTTCTTTTTAATTTTAAAAACTGAAAAGAAAAAAAAAAAAGCCAACATGGTGGCTCACGCCTATAATCCTAGAACTTTGGGAGGCCAAGGCGGGTGAATCACTTGAGGCCAGGAGTTCGAGACCAGCCTGGCCAACAAAGCAAAACCCCATCTCTACTCAAAATACAAAAACAAAAACAAATGTAGCTGCTGGGCATGGTGGCGTACACCTGTAGTCACAGCTACTCAGGAGGCTGAGACTAGAGAATTGCTTAAGGTGGAAGTCACAGTGAGCCAAGATTGTGCCACTGCACTTCAGCCTGGATGACAGAGCACGACACTGTCTTGAAAAAAAAAAATTAAAAAAAAACAAAAACTAATTAAAAGCGCTGTATAAAAAACATTGACAGGCCAGGTACGGTGGCTCATGCCTGTAATCCCAGCACTTTGAGAGGCCAAGGCAGGTGGATCACGAGGTCATGAGATTGAGACCACCCTGGTCAACATGTTGAAACCCCATCTCTACTAAAAATACAAAAATTGACTGGGCGTGGTGGCGCACGCCTGTGGTCCCAGCTACTTGGGAGGCTGAGGCAAGAAAATCGCTTGAACCAAGTAGTCAGAGGTTGCAGTGAGCCGAGATCATGCCACTGCACTCCAGCCTGGCAACAGAGTGAGACCGTGTCTCAAAAGACAAAAAACAAACAAACATGGACAAAGACATTCCTTTTTTTTTTTTTTTTTTTTGAGATGACGTTTCACACTTGTTGCCCAGGCTAGAATGAAATGGCGTCATCTTGGCTCACTGCAACCTCCACCTCTCAGGCTCAAGTGATTCTTCTGCCTCAGCCTCCCGAGTAGCTGGGATTACAGGTGTGCACCACCACGCCCAGACTGAGCACAGCCATTTTCTAGCACACACAGACATTTGGTGTCAAAGCACTCTGTATGGCACCATTGAGAAAGCACGGTCTGGCTGGGGAAAGAGGCTGACACGATCTACAGCGTGCGTCATCCTATTTAACCACCGATGGCTCCTCCACCGGTTGCTCTCTGATGGGCATTTATTTGACGGTCTTCCACCCTGTGACTATTTTGAGAAGCTGTCCACAGTCCTGTCTCCTAAACCATCAGATGGCCAGTTGTGCTCTTTCCAAGTGTCTGCAGCTGGCAGGTCTATCAGACACTGCTCACGTGTCTATATAAATCTGTTCCTTAGGCCACCTTTCCTTCCACAGAAGGCACCCACAGATGTATTGCCTGGAAGTTCCACCCACTGGGACAATTTTCCTTCACCACTGTCTGTAACCTCAAACTCCTGGACTCAAGTGATCCTCCTGCTTCAGTCTCCCAAGTAGCTGGTACTACAGGTATGCACCATCATCACACCTGGTTAATTTTTAAAACTTTTTTTTTTGTAAAGTCCAGGTCTCACTATGTTGACCAAGCTGGTCTGAAACTCCTGGGCT